AAAGTCTACCACTCATGAGAGGCGAGGACCTCACCGGGGCACCGCCAACCAACCGTACCAGTTTTATAAAATGCTGACATAGAAACCAGTGAGCTAGCAGCACCGTTTAGATCTTGCCATCATGGCCGTGATACCGAGAATTTGAAATGAAAGATGTCAACCAGTCGAAAACATTGACATCGAATCACCTAAGCCCTCAAAAAGAGGGAACACCCGGTTCGACAGCTCGATTACTCGAAAGGAGGTGCCATCTTTGAAATCAAATTTTAGGGCCCATGTTGAAAGCCTACTATGCTTGATGAAAGCTCAGTCAAGGCTGCAAACAAATGCGGACCTTGTCAGCCTTCCTGCTTGTCAGTGTGTGTCATGTCAGTGTCAGGGAGGCCACCTGCCTGGGTCGCGCCTCGCCCGTGCACGAGGAGGGCCACCTGTGGCGCAGGACCAACGGCTGATTGACTGCCACCGATTGAAGTCGCACACCAACAGCTGCCATCAAGGCGCGCAGCTTGTTCACCGATTTCGCTCAGGGAGCAAATCAACTACCCCAACAAAGGCCCAATTCGGACCAATTACGGGTTAGCAACCATCCAGCTTTCCTGCAGCACCCTTGGCTGGCCTGTCAGCTTTGGATGATTGAAATTCCGAGCACTGCTGGCCAGCATGCAAACCGCTGGCTCCTTCACTCTTGATGACACCTTTCTTTGACATTGCTGAGTGGCAATGTGGCCAGCAGAGCGATCCCCTAACACATGTCACAGCTTGCACTGATCATGTGCTCACACGCACCCTCTTTGCAGCATCTTTCAACTGCTGGTTCCCCACCGCCCTCTTCCCCTTGAAGGCATCTTCCTGTGCAGGGAATGAACGAAGCACCTTTCCTGCCTTTATGAATGACAGGATGCAACCTATTAATCATAGCTGGCTACGTCAGGGAACATTGGCTCATGTAAGTAGAAAACCTGAAATTGGCCAAACCCTCTCCGCAACATAAGTTGGTTTTGCACTGCTTTAAACCGTAGTGGGAGGAATTTGGGCGCAGGCCTCTACGCAGGCCTCTGCGCACAACGACATCATCACGTCGCTGTTGATCATCTTGGCGGACACAGGTGAGCACCCAGTCTGCGAGTTCCTGAGGCGCCGTTTCAAGATGCGAGTTTGCGATGGAATCACAACAACTAAGAACAAGAGCATGCCAGGGTTTAACACTACCCCCAAAAAGACTTCCCTGGAGAATTAACACATACAGTTACAGTAATACCCATCCAGCTAATGGTGTTAACATCCGCTCCAACTTAGAAGCTTGCCCCAACTGCAAAACAAGAGTCAGGCTTGTCTTGGTGGCCCTTGCCACAGAGCCCCTCATGACGCACACATCCTTGATCGCCTGCACCTGCTTCGGCGAGATCCATGTGCGCTGCGTGGCCACAAAGAGCATGTCAGACACATTGTCCATCAACTCCATCATCAACACCTTCCTCTGGCACTGAGTCTTGTCTTTGAAGTTGATGACGTCATTCTTCACCGCCATGTCCTTCTTCAGCGCCTTCTTGCCCGCCGTGGCTGCCAATTTCTGCTTCTCCGCTTCTATGATCTTCCTGCCCGGGATTTTTTGCAGCGCTGCCAAGTCCTTCTCGGCGGCCAAGATCGTCTCCACGAAATCCTTGTCCTGCTTGGCCACCCTGGCTGCCGAGTCCCCCTCAATGACAATGATCTCCTGCCGGACTTCCTTGTCCCGTTTGGCTGCCTCCTTCACCGCCTTCGTGCCCGTGTTGGCATCTTTGCCTTGTTTGGTGATGATGTCGGCCTTCACCACTTTCTTGTCCTTCTTGGCCACCAAGTCCGCCTTCGCCGGGATCACTTTCCTGTTCACCAGGTCCTCCTTCAGAACCTTTGTTTCCTTCTTGGCAAGCACCGCCGCCAAGTCCTCCTTCAGCACCATTTTCTTGTCCTTCCGGGCCACCCCGTCCTCCTTCACCACTTTCGCGTACGTCTTAGCCACTTCGTGCTCCTTCACTGCTTTCGATCCCTTGGCTGCCAACTCTGTCTTTGCCTTCTTCACCTCCCGCTTGGTCGCCAAGTTGTCGCTCTTCGCCTCCTTTATCTGCTTGGTCGCCGAGTCCTCCTTCGCTGCTTTCATGTCCTCCCTGGCCGCCACATCCTTCTTCAGCGCATTCATTTCCATCTTAGCCACCACTTCCCCCTTCGCCTCCTTCTTGCCCTCCTTTGTTTTCACTGCCTGCTTGCCTGCCAGGTTCAAAGTCAAGCCCTTGGCATCCTCCTGCGTGGCGTTGTCCTTCTTGCCCTGGCCAATCTCCTGGTCGGTCGTTGCGCCTGTCTGCGGCGCATCCTTGGCCAGCTTCACCTGGTCAGCCTGCGGAGCCTTCATCGCATCAGCTGGAGTCACATCATTGGCTTTCACCTCCTGCTGATCATCCTTCTTTGCCACCACATGTGCGGCGGCCTTCTTCTCACTGGCGGGGGCTCTTTGAGGTTTGCCGCCCTCAACACTCGTCTCCTTCTCTTCCTGCGCCTCCTTCTTGGCCTCCTTCTTGGCCTCGCTCTTGGCCTCGCTCTTGGCCTCGCTCTTGGCCTCGCTCTTGGCTTCCTGCTTGTGTGCCAGCATTTTCGTGCTGGGCGCGTCCTTCCGCTCGCTGTTCTTGCTGGTCAAGCTGTCCATGTCGTTGAGCACCGGCTTCGTCTTCTGGCTGACCTTCTTCTTCTGCTCCTTTCCGTCTGGCTTCCCTTCGCTAGCATATCCCGTCGCCTTCTCATCAGTCTTCACTTTGCTTTCCTGCACCTCCAGCTTCACCTTGGCAACCTTCACCTCCGCCTTCTGGCTTCCAGCCTTCTCCACGAGATTCGCCGGCTTGATCGGGGCCTGCTCCTTCTTGCTGCCCTTCTTGTTGTCACTCTGGGCCGCGGTGGCTGCGTTGCTGTCCATCGCCCTGACCTTTGGAGGGGTCCAAAGTAGCCCTTGCCGTGGCAGGATCGTGTCGTGCTCCTCCAGTTCAACCGAACCCGGCTCCCTGATAGAAACAAGGATTGAAACCACAATGGCCCGTATTGAAATACTTTGAACATCAAACCACGCAAGGAAGCAGACTTAGACTTAGCCCCTGAAAGCAAGCCAAGTGTCGAAAAGTTTGCTGCCAAACTTGGCGAGTTTGTCAAGAGTTCACGCAACTACACACATCTTGCGAGGCCAATGCAATTATAGCGGGTTGCGCGCCCCTGGCTGAAGATCTAAATTGACTTGCAGCACATTTCATATCAAACAGGAGTCCTGAAAGGGAAGAGGCGTTGAGGTGTAATCTGAATCAGCGGCATCTAAGTCTTCTTCGCACTCCACCTCTTCATATTCCTCCTCTTCAATCGCAACTTCTTCATATTGCTGGTGGCCGTGGACCCCCTCTTCAACCCTCAAGCTCGCCGCGTATTCCTCCTTCGTCATCGCGATGGCGGTGAGCGAGTCCTGAAAGGGCATGGCCAATTGGAACCGTGGACTTTTGCCCGCCATTGCAAATCACAGCTGCCCTATCTCAACACCCTGAGCCTGGATGCATTGAAATAACCTCAGACATTTGCAAGTAAAATGTGAACCACGTCTACAAATATGCATCTTCAGACTCAGAGCCAGCGTCTTCTATCCCCCATCTTGCCTTTAGTCTACAGTTTGGACCAACTTATGGCTGAATCATGTGTGGCATTTTGCACAGGGATGGGGAGAGGGCAGCCAGTCCTTTCTGCGCAAAGGCCTTTCCACATGCAGCTCCTCGAGCTCATTGCGGCAGTGACCCACGGTGGCTCCAATCCACAGCTCCTCCTCCTCCTTGGAGGCCATCGCGAAGCCCAAGGCCTTGCTCGCGAGGGACCCCGGCCCGCAGTACTCCAAGTCCTCCCACCCGCAGCGCCTCAAGTGGTCCAAGGTTTCAATGAGCCTGCCCAGCTTGTGGCCTTCAGGCAAGCACCTACGCGCAGGCACGCCACCAGGAAGCACAGGCACCATGACAAAGCCTGACCCTGAGCTGTTGCAGCAAAATGCTACTGTCAGCCAAATGCTGCGGAAGGATTTGGCGATGTGGCCCAAACTGCCATGGTCCTTGAATCAGACAAAAGCGCATGATGACTAAAACTCAATTGTCAATGGATCAATCCGTGAAAGCGCATCTCACATCACAAAAAATAAATGCGTTTAAACTTCCATTGGAGTAATCTAGTTCAACAACTGCTGCCCAAAGAATTCCTCTAAGACAAGGGTGATGCCGAAACCGTTCGACCATGTCCGGCCTTGCCACGTGGCTGCAGGCGATGCTGCCATCAGCCCATGGCGCACGTCGCTGCGACTACCAGGCACAACCAACTAACCCTGAAACTGCACATAGATGAGTTAAACTGTATAATTATACTTTAGGACCACATGTGCATGTAAAGGTGGCTTCGGGGCCGGGCGACTGTTGTAGAAAGAGGAAGCTGAAAGAGAATCAGTATTTAAAACACATCATGCCAGATCCTTCTAATCCTGAAACGTCACACCTCATGAATGAAATTAGACTGTAGCATGTTGGGTCCGGCTACGGTGCCGCGACTGACGTAGAAAGCGAACACTTGTACAGCAAAACAACCAAAACATCTGCAAACCATGCAAAAAATAAAAAATGTCCCAAAGCACCACCCAGCAAAGGAATTCTGGAACAGTGGCGTCAGTTGAGCTCCCGCCGCTTTGTTTCGGTTCATTTGCACAGGCTGGGACTCCGACTCACAATGCGAGCCCCTTGAATCCTTGAGTTGTATACGGATGCCTGCATGGATTCCTGCAGGCCTCACTCAAACCTCTAGTAAAACCAAAGCGGTAGAATGCCTCAAAACAAAGTCCAAACGTGACCTTGTCCCGAATTATTGTGGTTTGGACCAAGGCAGATTCCTCATGCTCACTACGGGCTCAACCCCATGAGCCACCAAATCCGAACGCCGGAGCCTTCACCCCAGCTGGGGTCTCCCACAGCGCCCTGCCGCGGTCCAGACTGCGCGCAGATTGCCTGAGGCCATCGGAAGATCCGCTGCGCCCCTACAGACTCTGGAGCCCAAAAACCCCACCCATTTTTCAGAGGAACCTTTGGACCCCCATTGGGTTCCATGTTAGTTTGTAGGGGAGGAAATACAAATGCATTGTTCAACAACTTTCTAAAGTAAACCGGAGTCGAGAAGGGGGATCCTTCTTTGCTTTTGTGGAATGAGGGCATTGCACATTTCCTTGCGCAAAAGCGAAAACTTATCACCATGAACGCCTCAGCATCAATGTATGAAGTTCTCAGAGCAAGCCCTGCAGGTTGACATCGGGGGTCCTTGCCCACAGTGGGCTGTCTGTTCATGTTAAGTTGCATGAGAGGATCTGGATCCTCAAGCCAGCCCTAAACATGGGACCTATGACACCAATTTCCCTGTGAAAAGCAGGGACTATGCTGTGCCGATTGCTGACGAACCCTTCACTAGGCGGGCAACAGGTTCCCTTTCAGTGCAATGTTGCCCCTGTATTCATCAATCAGTTTATTCATATGGGGTTGTTCCCCTCCAAAAGCGATGACTCGCCACTAAACCCAGAATCGGACACCCCCCCTATTAATAAACTGGGGTTAATTCATATGGGGTCAACATTACACGATACGAATCCAGTTGTCCAGTGGCAAGAAAAGGATGGGAGGGTTGATCAGAAAGTCATGGGGCACCGGGGCGATTCGTCCGATCACACCAAAGACCAGTGAATAGAATCGTCAGGCTCTAAGGGCAGCACGCATCTGTCCGAGACCTGGCTGGTTGCTCTGAAGGAAAACCGAATGAGTATTGGAGAAACATGTGTTCCGTTTGGTTTCCCTTCGAGGTGGAAAGGGTACCGTGCGCGGCCGAGCGTGCAGCTGGAACTAACAAACATTGCGTTCTTTGCTTCCCCCCCCCTCCCCCTCCCCAAAAAAGAGAAACAAACCACATCCTTGCTTGCTTAAAGGACCTACAATCAAAAGCTTAACGTGCTTGTCACCAAGCATAACCAAACGTGCATCCAGGTTGGCGTGGGGCTTTGGCAAGTGAACCCCCTGCAAACGATCGACCGGCGAACCCCCCTCGAAATCCAAGGGCGCCTCTCCCGGTAAAGTGACGAGTCGGAGTGGCATATTGTTTTGTCCACTGGCGGAAATTGGTCCAAAACGCCAGCAGGACTCCAGGACCCCGTTTCTACCTGGGCGTTTCTCTCAAGTGTTGGACAAAACCACCTAAACAAAACCCATCAAAAACCACCAAAAAACAACACAACACCATCTAAAGTTCTGGACCCAAACCACCAACAAGAGTAACACGAAGAACCCCCCTCGCCTCGCCACGCTGCCGGCGCGGGAGCCGCTGTCCGCCATGGCACCGCCGTGGTTCCACCTGACTCGCGTCCGGGTCAGGCGCTCGGTATTGGTGGGCATGGCATCTTCCCAGAGGACCAAGCTGTTGATCAAAACCAAAACGCGATGTTGAGCGCCAAAAGGGAAATCTATAACATAACTACCAAGAGTAACTTAAATCAGTTCAACTTGTTTGGTCATTTTAGTAAACGGAATATGTGGATCAATAAGTGAAAGTATATATCTATAGTGTAATGTGGAAAACCCAGTGCCAAAAGGGACATATACATAAAACCAAAAAGACATGTGTTGAAAACCCTGTCTGGGCCGGTCAAAACGGAGGGTTGGCGAATCCTGATCCATCCTCCTCACTGGAAAGCTCCTAACTTGTGATTTGGATTGGTGGTTCGGAGCTGTCGGGATTTTTTTGCCCATTTGATGAGCGACTGGCCGACTGGGCCGAAGGTACATGCACCCGTTGCGCAATCCAGGCTTGGAGCCCCGGCAGTTTTGGCCTGGGCGCGTTTTGGGCCCCAGGGGAAGTGAGCACGCGTTTTGGGTTCTCTCAGCGAAGTACTTGGGCAGTGGGCCAACCAGGTTGTCGCCACCCAGAAGTAAAACCATAGGAAGCCACCCATGAGTTCTGCTTTTTTCGTATGGGGGGGGCTCCCGGGGGCTCCCGGGTAAGCCACACCCAATAGAAGCTAAGACCACAGGTCCACACTCGGTCGCTCAGGTTAGCGAAACCTCTAGCCCCGAAGCTTCAGGTGAGCTGCTGGCCACGTGGCGGTTGCATCACTCTGTGCAGACCGAGGCCGGAAGACTTGTTGCCGATAAGTCTGCGACCACATTTTGCGCCTCCATCTTCCGGATGCGCTCCACACACGCCGCCCACTAGCCACGATTCCAGGAATCTGGACAGCGACTTGGCCTCCAAGGCCTGGGGCCTTGACAATCCCCGTCTGACAAAATCAACGGGTCGTCAGACCCATGGAATCCGCTCGCGAAGCGACACCTGGGCTCCCTGCACCATCTCGACCGTCAAGTGCCTCGGGCCGTTCCACCGGTCAGGGGCTTCCCCAATGGCCGCAGTGTGCCCTGAAAGAACAAGAACAGCTCAGATCGACCCATCAGGTGGTCTTCGAAACCACCAGCATACCGTGTATTTATATATATATATATATTATAAGGAAATTATGGGAAACAACTTCACCGGTGATGAAACCCACATGCGGCAAAAGGGCTTTCTTGAGTCGGGCCCAGGGAACTTTAATCCTAGAACAACGCACCTGGCAAGCCATCTTCTTGACATGTCGACTGGCGTCTCTCACACTCAATCCGTGCTTCCTGTTTCTGTAGGTTCGAAATCAAACAACAAAAGCACAGGAAACTAGAGAAGGGCACTTTGCAAACTCAACAGGTACCTTTTTCCTCCGGTCCCGCAACATGGGGCCCAAAAAGTCTTCCAGGATCGATCCCGTAGACCTCGACTCATCAAGCCCGGGCTGCCGGGCGGCGAGGACACCGGGGGTGTGGCCACCAAAGCGCTGGGCGACCTTCAAACCACTGGCCGGAGACTCAAACGCGTCGCCCTACAAATCTCCCGACTTGGACTGGGGCCTGGCTGCGATTATGGGTGCACACACAAATAGAGGAATAAAGTTCGCTCTGGAAGAATCTCTCACGGGAGAAACGCAATGAAACGCAGGTCGATCCTCATGATCATAGCCTGAAGCGAGTTGGATTGCTCTCCGGCCCGTCTTCAGCCCCCAGCAATGCGCGCACCCGAGGGGGTCCGGCGCCACTCGTCCTGACGCAATGGACGGCCGGCCAGCTGCGCAGCAAAAGGGGTGAAGGGGTCAATCCCCTTTTAGGGTCTCTCAACCCCAAACTGGTTACGCTTCTCACCCCTTGGCTTTGTTTCTCACCTGTTGGGCTCTCTCACCCCTTTGCCCGGTTTCTCACTTTTGCCTCGTCGTTTGACCCCCGTGGAGTTGATCCCGACCCGGCCGGCCAATTTCCCCGCCACGAGCCAACCCCTGCCGAGCCGCGTGGCCATCTCGCGCTTCGCGGAGGCCAAGGCCCTCAGAGCTTCGGAACGGCACCGCACGGAAGGGGACGGGGACCCGGGGGGGCAACTCCCGAAACCTCGGCTTTGCTTGAGGCCAGGCGGTTTGCTTTTTTTGGGCCCTCTTTGGATTTGTGTTGCACCTTTTTTGGGGTTTGTTTTTGTTTTTGGCCCTCTTTGGATTTGTGTTGCCATTTCTTTCTCGGATTAGTTTGGCGAATTTGGGGTCCTGGTCGGGTGTCGAAAAAACCAGGGTTTTCTGGGTAAGACCTATGGTCTAGAGGTTCGATTCGAGGGTTGCGCGTAGGTTTGACCAGTTTTTTGCTTCTGCAGGAACCTACCAATCAAAAAGTGAAGCAGAGATCCCAGTACAGGGGAACCAAGAGGATACTCACTTGCTCCGGGGCAGTTCTCTAAATAGGAATCGGTCCCCTAAAACGCGTGGCTTTCTTTTGGCTTCCTCTAAAATACAAACCATCCAATCCACAAACATGGACACAGGGGGGGGGGTCCTGGAAAACAACTTTCCTTTAAAAGGGGTGGGCTCCACGTCAGTGGGGTGGAGGGTAATTACAGGGGCCCCCTCGAGGCGCAAGTGGCCGAGCGCCCCTGCGCCAGCGTGCCCGGCTTGGGCGAGCCCAGGGTGGCTGACCTTGGCCGCACCCCGAATTGTAAGAAACTGAGGGGGTCCCAAATGCTCTTAAAAAAAGTTGCTTGTATATCGACTACATCGTGCGAATTGGGTCTTTGCAACTGCGTGGGATTCCAATTGTTCAGTGACCCTGGCAAAAAAGGGAACCCTTTTTAGGGGAACACCATGTTTAGTGGGGCAGCCACCAAAAAAAGGGGGAAAAAGGGTGCCACTGAACAACTGAGAATGTTTCCTCTTGCGATTCGGACTGGCGATTCCTCAAAATGGCGCTTTGATTGCTTTGTGGTGTTGTCCTGTTGGCTGCTCACCTTACATGTCCAGGTCCTTTGGTTGCAACGTTTCCTTAAACAAGCTGAAGAACCACAAGTCCACGCTAGCCAAACACGCCAGGGATGTAAAACAAATTCAAGGCTTTCCTACACATGTTTCCTGAATAAACTCACTTTCGATGGACGTGAACGGGAATCAGTCGACAACAAACACCCATGTATATATATATATATACATATGGTACCCCTCCCAAACCCAGGTTTTGGGAAGGGATATGTGTACACACATGTTATGGACACCCAACATTTGCAAGTGAGGCTGGAAGCTCTAGGCCAAGGCCTCACTGAGTCAGAACTTTTTACCGTAGGGCGAGTGTCAGGCGCCGTTGTTGCCAGTGAGAGTGGACTGCCTTGCTGTGTTCTGTTTCTTGGAGGGCCAGGGAATCGACCTTGGATCAAGCATCGCCCGATGGCCACTGATGTTTGTAGTAGTAGAAGGGTGCAAGGCACTAAGCGAGGAGGCCAAGCTCCTGAACGAGGTTCCCGGCAGGTCCAACCTGACAAAAAGTCGCCCGACAAAAACCTGCCTTCGCACACAGACCTGCAGCGGCCAAGGTAAAACTGGATCCTTTTGGGCGTTTTGATGTTGAAGGGAAACTGCTCCGTGATTTTGGTGCGAACTGAACCTTAACATGCAAACTGATGTTAAACAATGTCCTAGACACAAGGGCCTCGAAGCACCCGCTCCCAAGGGCATCTCATCAGTTTCCAGACTTTGCTGGGCTACAAGAAATTGTGGGGCATACAACCGAACAAAGTCAGGGCAACATGGAAAGAACACCTCAATAAAGCTGCTCCCAGGTCATCACTGATCTTATCTTTACACCCCATTTGTCATGTTTCCAGAGTTCCAAAACCCGAGAAGAGTCGGGCCATCAGCCACACTCAGAACCCCATAGACTCCATGGCTCTCTTCCAGCGCCTCGGCGATTCCGGGCGGGACCTGGCCAAAGTCGATGGGTGTCTTGTTGGAGATTTTTGGAGTTGGTGCCCTTTTTTGGCGGAGTTACAGGCAACCATTTTGGGGATCCCCCCAAAGACGTCAGACCCAAACTGGAGGAAACAAAACAACAAGAACAATCAATTGGCGTCCAACAGAAGTTCCCTCTGTGAGGGTGTTTGGGGCCACTCAATGACGGACTGCCAAATAGATGCTTGGGCGGAACTTGCGTGGAAACGCTGAACATCTCTGAGCCCATTCCCAACAGAATGTGTTCCGAATCGGAGCACACATATGTGTAACCAAACCAGGACTTCTCAGTTTTCTGAATTATGACATACCCTATCCAAGGTACCTTCGTCGGGCTTTTGGTCGCAGCCCTCCCTTTCAAGGTCGCTAGTTTGACAATTTCTAAGCAGGGGAATGTACACAAAACATAGACAGGCGGTCCCTCCCTATTCATGAATTGCGGACTGGGGATGGCAAAAACTCTCGTACCAACGCAAGCAGTGAAACACCTGAACACATGGTCGCGTTGCCAACTCGACGGGTATAACTTATGACAGGGGTGTCTCTTTTTTTTCTTCCTTTTTCGGGGACCTCCAAAAAGATGGGTGGTTTTCTGTTACCCTTTAAAGCCAATCAAAAAGGGCACCCTCAAGACAAGACACGCAAACACTCGCACATCCATTTGCTTAAGGTTCCGGAGGAAAGAACTGGAACTATGTCCAGTGATAGAGTCCCTTTAAAGCCAACAGGAGACACTTAATTAACAACATATTCTGAAGCAAATGGAAGCACACATATTCTTTCCCCTCTAATGGGACATTGAGGAAGGGTCCCTTCATTCAGCTTGTGTTAATCTTGTGTTAATCCCGGGCCCTTCCCCCCCGGAGCAGTGGGGCGCTGACTCAGGTGGAATCTCAGGCGTGAAGCTGGGATCTGTGCTTTGCACACCGGAAGACATTCCGGTTTGTGGAAGTTCAAGGGTCAGCCAAACCTCATGAAATGTCAACACCTCAAAGGGCCATGGACCAAAAAAGCAGAGGCTTTTGATATAGTTGACTTTGAACCCCATCCAAACAAGTTGAACAAAGGGGTAGTGGAGATCAAACTTCTAATCCTCATGTGTCGAACCAAATGAAAGGCATGCAGCAATGTGTCACAATTCTTTAGGATATGTCATTTGTTGATCGTTTATTTCATCACCATTGTTTGGGTCGATTTATGAGGGCGTGTCTAAACAATGCCTTCCCCAAAATGGCTGCTTTCATCTTCTTTCTCTGTCGGCTTGGCCCTAAACCACTCCAAACGGGTTGCCGAAAATCCAAACCCACACGCCGACACCGGATCTTCGCCTGGAGACTCCCGGCAGCAAAAGTGGCTGCGTGCGCGCCATGCTGCGGGGCGACCTAGGATAGATGCAAGTGACCCAAAAGGGGGACAAGGAGACCCCGCAAAATGGCAATATAGTGTTCTTTTGGCTCGACCACGCATCTGAACAAAAAAGCAAGCAAACAACCAAGCGAACAAACCGACAACAAAAAGTCCAATTAGAAGTTCACATTGTTCATTCGACTGGACTGCTGTCGACATGATGGTAGTTTCCAATTTTTTTATTGAGCTCGGCTGTTGGAAAAAGGTTTCCCACAAGACAACTTCCTCTTTCCCATATTTGATGGCAGGGTAATTGAAGGGTACCCCCTACTCAGCATGAAACCCAAGAGCTCAAGTGGCGAGTGGGACAAAGTGACAGCCTTTGAGTTGATTCAGAGGAACCCGCAAAGGAACAACGAAGGCAGTGATGGTCTGGGCAAAGCAGTGCAGTACTCGGATGAGGTTGTGGGATGCCGTAAAAACAGTGATCAGAGGAGAAAACACTCATCAACCCCTCAAGAACCCCTCAAAACCCCGTCAGTTTCACAGGCATCACCCTTTGAGAAAGGGACCCGTCTTTGGGATCGACGTGTTTTGGCAGGGGAGTAATCTGTGAATGTATCTTGGTGACTATTGCCACCTGCAGCAAGACTTTTGCAGGTTGCAGGCTAGTTGGAAAACCCTTTTCTACTTTCCCAACATTTCCCAACACAAATGAAGGTTAAAGCTTAAAGCTCCAATGCGCCAAGATTGAATCTTACTGAGCACCGACCCAGAAGTTATTCACGTTTTATTAAGCTCGTACGCCGAGTTGTTAAACTTGCTAAGTTTTCATCCCCTGCGACCCCCAGAAAGTAGGTAACCCTTCGCCATTGTCCATGGTACCGTCTCTTAACGGCACCTTGGATACCCAGGGAAACCCATCACTCGCATGGACATGGGGCAGCCGGCAAGGGGATGCCCACGGTGCGGTAGCCCCGCTGCCTGGCCCAATGGCGCGGATCGGTAGCCCCGATCCGAATCTGGGTAGGGAATACCTGGCCTGGCGCCTGAAAAATTCGCACTCATCAGGTTCTATCATATGTTTCACGACATCTGCAGCAACCGAACAAGATGCAATGAGAAAACATTCGCAACATGGAAGTGCACAGATTCCTTTTGAAAGACTGTCTGAAGGGAAAGGGGGCCCGTGTGCGTCTTTGCTTGGTCATGGGTAGCGCAAAAGAGCAAGCCATATAGAAAGGTCCCCTACAAATTCACATGGAACCAAAAGAAGGGTTCATTTCCCAAAAGGAGTTCCTCTGCACGTGGGCAAAACCTGTGAGTCATCATGGTTTTAAGGAAAGGCGCGACACCGCCAGTTTTCTCTTTTATGGACACGAGCACCTTGGTGTGGATCCAAACATGTCTCTGGTCAAGTCGAGACCTCAGCTTTTGCCCCAAATTCGCGCAAGCTCAACATGCTCAAGAAAATGACAAGTAGCACTCTCCCGCCAACTAACATAGAACCTGACAAGGGGCTTCCTTTAAACGCAAAAATGGTCTTGCAGCAGCCCCCTGTTATGTTTCATGTCAACTGGTGGGTAGCCTCAAAAGGACCACCCTGATTCCTTTCCCTTTTTCTGATGTCAGCTGAGCTACCACTCGTCGCGGATGGGGCCCGTCTCTCCGGTCCTCCAGCAACCAAACAAATCCGTCATCGGGATCAAAGGAAACCACTACCGTGTACTACCGCCTGCAACACAACGGATTAACAGGGAGCCTTACATTATACACCTGATCATTGCCTTGCAAATGGTGGCTGCCCTTTATTTTTTGGTGGAAAAAGCCATGTTTCAAATGGGCAAAATGTATCGTTTAAGGAGCCCTGATTAAGACCTACTGTTGAACCCAGCCAAGTCAGACATAGAGGCCTGCCTACAAAAGCGTGGTTGGGCACTTTGTGCGCCCCCTCCCCAAACCCCAACCAGAAAGTTGGCAAGGGGAATGAACTGTATGGCTCGAAACACAACAAGGAACCCCCCAAACCCATGTGCAAGGACTGGGCCAAAGTGACAGCTCGAGAGAACCTTCAGCTTTCAATTCCTTTCAACCTATTCAATACGATCAAAAGTGTCTGCGGGAATTGCCATGCTTCTTTCAACCGTTGAATCGACGCGCCTGTTGACCCTCAACCATCCAAACATTCCACTCCAAAAGGTCCATTCCCTTGCGGCGCGCAAAATGGGCCAAGCTTAAAGTTTGTACCTGGGCCCCTGCAAAGCGTGCAAAGTACATGGCACCATCTCCGGTTTAGATCCCGGTAGTTCCTTTTAGCCCGCAAAAAGGAATCTTCTGTTCCTTTATGTGTTTTTTTTTTTTTTAATCTCTCTCTCTCTGCCTCGGCACGTCAAAGCGCATGTGGCCTTCTACTTCCACCTTGAAGTATGGGAAAGCTATCGCTGGTCTTACCCAAGTCAAGGATACATGACCGTTAATGAGGCCCTCAGCTCGCTTGATCACGGAACTTGTGCCTCGCAAACTCTCTTTGCCCCCTCGAATCCCTACCAACTGGAAAACACGTGCCCCTCCCGTCCTGGGAGTTCTGGGACTTCGCGGAGTATTCGCTTCTGTCGGCGTCCGGCTTGGCGAGGTTGGGGAAGGCGAGCGCTGCCTCCCAAAAGGAAAGGCGGAAAGTATTGCAATGGAGGACAAGAGGCCTTTTCAAAACAAAAGTCTTCCCAATCCCTGGCAGTCGTCACCCTTTGAAGCTGACTCAGCCGCGTCGGGATCCCTTGTATTAGTTTCAATCGGCCATTGGTGACGATACTACTTCATGGCATTGAGCATTGCACACTCCAAGACCTCGCTGCTAAGAAAGGTCACAAGGTCTTTGTGCAGTGCTTGGAAGCTGGCGCAAGCCGCCAAAAAGACCGGCATGAAGTGATTAAGCTGAAAGACTTGCGCCAAGAAGCGGCAGCAGCGTCTCCTCTTTGAGCATATAACGCGCAACTTCGAACCGGTGCTGCGCAATCCAAAGGGGCGATGCCGGACCCAACTCTAAGAACCTTGCCCTTGTCCGCGCCAGCATCCATCAAATGCTTTCAAAGCCGAACCAGCAAGGCACGAGAGCAGGTTCGTCTATAGGGGCAAACGCACATATTCAGTGATCCGTGGGTCTGAGCACGCTATTGGCCAGAAGAACAGGAAGTGCTTGCAGCAGCAAGTGCTTCCTGCTGTTCCGGCTTTTCCGCATGGCCCGTGGGCGACTGGAAAAATATGGGAAAACCCACCTGCCTTACCAGGGGAGAAGGCGATGCTTTCCCGGGGCGCGACATGTTTTCCGTTTTGGGGACCCTATTGAAAGGGCGAAAACCAATTGTAAGATTCAGTTTCTGTCTTTCCTAAATCGGCGCCCGACATCGCCTTTTGTCACGTGGTTGAAACGACAGAAGCTTTTCCAGCTGAAAGCTACAGGGGTTGGGGCAGGTTTCAGGGAGGGTTGAAAAGGAGGGTTCCAGGTGTTTTTCTTTGGGCTGTTGGGGATAGCGCAAATTCTAACCTTGCAAACGTGGATTGTTGCAGATGGCAATCCCGGGAGAGCGACACGGGAAGACCAAACAAGGACCGAAACAAACAGGATAGTTTTCACGAGGCCCGCAAAAACGTGGGCCGACCCGCACTTATGACAACTCACCAACCTGAGTTCAGGAATCCATAAAGGACGGAAGAGCTGAGCGAAATACCAAAACTTGCGCAAGCAAGAACCCAGAGAAATAAAACCCTGTTTCGTGGCCATTTAGAGGGGATCCATTTACACACCGAAATCTCTGGCACAAGGGTACATGGGGCAAAACACACCCACAGCGCATTTCTGGCCAGCTTCTACCTTGAGGTCTAGCCCGGGTTACGGCTTGGAGCAAGGCTTCACCAGGGGAAGCACCCTCCGCATGAGTCGATCGCCCACCTGGCCTTCGTTTCCGCGTGGCCTCCAGCAACCACCTGCGCGCTATGCGAAACCCGGGGCCCGTAGGATCTATCGGGATAAAGGGGTCTGCTGTTCATGGCACATATGGTTTTGTGCCCCAAATCGACGATGCGGAACACGCCGCTGTTTGCATGGTTTGCTACCCCGTGGGTCACATCAAACATGGGCGGAAGGTTTTCGCAGTCGTGCTTGAAATCCATCAAGTACAAAAGGCGGGCAAGAAAACCAGGAAACACCCGCGGGGCAGAGGCGGAATCACAAATGGGTGTTGTTGTAAAGGGGACCCCCAACATGGCGGTTGTCCTTTTGGTTTCCCGTTAACAACCACAAACAAGGGGCACCAACTCAGAAAAACCGCCTCAAATAGAATGCGACTTTCGTTTCGGAAGCCAAGGTGGATGATTGATTCCAAAGGTGGGAAGCCTTTGGAAATCCCCAAAAATAGCATTGGGCTCATATAGCAAAACTCCTTGGTTGTTTGTTTGGCAAAAAATGCAGCATGTTTTGTAAAAAATCGAGCCTAGATGCGATTTCTGCCTAGCGCCCGAACGTTCAGCCTAGTGCCACCGCATGTTTGAAGTTCGCTCCCATGGGTTCGGAAGCGATCGGGGACACCGTCTCACGTAGGCCGAGTAAAACAAACCCACCAAACACGAGGCATGAACATACTGGGTGTTTTTTTGAACAGCGCCACCCTCAACAACTACCCAACTGGCAGCTTTCGAGAGGCCCTCCAACATCGCCGAAGCGGACCTCCTTCGCTTTTCCCCAAAAGGACAACTTCTATTTGCGCAAGCCCCCTGGAACAAAGAAACTATTTCCAGTAGATAGATTCCCTTTAAAACCAGCAAGGGTAAATTATAAACATATTATTGAGCAAATGGAAGAACCCCCCTGCAACCATCACGGGGAACCACAAGAAACGCAGCGCCTCTGCTGTTCCAGCAGCACCTCATCGTGCGCAGGTCCTGCCAAATCCTCAGCTCTTGGATCTTTTTGGGGAAAACCCACTATACCCAAAAAGGGGTGCTACTGAACAACTGGAATCCGCCGACATTGCTCGGCGTGTCGGATACTTACTAGAGGCTAGAGGATAACCCCCCCCCCTAACCCCCCCCCCCGCCCAACGTCTATTACGTAGGTTTTTTTTTGGGGGGGGGGGGGGGGAGAGGGGGGGGGGGGGGGGGGGGGGGTCCCCCACGTACCGCGCGGCAATTTGATGACGTTCCACTAAACGTAGTCTTCGGGGAGCCGGTGTCGCAAAACAGGGGTCCCAGGCTCGATTCCCCCTGCCGGCTTTTTTGCTGGCTTGGGCTTCCTGCATCCTTTTGCCGAAAATCTGGAAAAACTCAATGTTTTTGGACGTCCTCTTTGCGAAAACCCTGGAAAAACCGTGTTTGTTTTGCGAGAAATACTGGGGAGCAAAGGGGAAGTGCAAGGAGACATACATACATACATACATACATACATACATACATTACAGTACATTACATTACATTACATGACATTACATGACATGACATACATACATACATTACATACATACATACATACAGGCATACATGTGTGTCAGCATGCATGCATGCATGCATGCATATACATTACATTACATGCATTACATTACTTACTTACTTACTTACTTACTTACTTACTTACTTACTTACTTACTTACTTACTTACTTACTTACTTAC